TTAAAAACGAAACGAATGCTCACTTCAGCAGCACATATACTAAAAATTGGAATGAAACCAAGATTAGCATAGCCCTTGAGTGAGGATGAAGCGCAAATCCATAAGGCATTCCATATTTTTAAGTAGAAGTGAGTTCAAGAGATCTATTATATAACATGGTGACTATGGCTAATAAAAATGCATTGTATACCTGAAAATCACTAAGACACTAGATTTTAAGTGTTTTCATCATAAAAAATAAATATGTGAGGTGATACATGTGTTAACTAGCTTGACTTAGCCATCCCACAATGTGAACATATTTCAAAACATCATGTTGTATACCATAAATCTATAAAATTTTTATTTGTCAAATAAAGGCTATGTCCTGAAAAAAATAAAAATAAATATGAAATAATATATCTTGGATTTGCTTTAAAACTATAGGAGACTGGGGATAAGAGGTTTTAGATGAGGGCCGGCCTGGTGGCGCACTGGATAAGTGCGCCGCTTGGGAAGCATGGCGGCGCTCCCGCCCGAGGGTTCGGATCCCACATACAGACCGGTTCCTGCTCACTGGCTGAGCGAGGCGCGGGGGCAACACCGAGGGTTGCAATCCCGTTGCCGGTCCCCGGTCCGGTACGGGGGCAACACTGAGGGTTGCGATCCGTTGCCGGACATGGAAAAAAACAAAACAAAAAAAAAAAAGAGGTTTTAGATGAAACAAAGCTGCACACTGTTGAAGGTAAACGATGGGTATAAAGGGTTCATTATCTTATTCTCTCTATTAGCGGGCATGTTTACAAATTTCCATAATAAAGTTTTTAAATGGGATTATACACCTCAAAATATACTATTTATTTTTCTTTGTACCCCAGGCAAACAACATAAATTCATTAGCTATTTGCTGTTTTGTTCATTACAGATTACAGCTGCCCTAGAAAACTGCTGTCATTTGCCCACATTAATCACTGATCTGGAATAGATTAGAACAAGCCCTCAGAGTCCGGCACAAGTGTGTTTTGCCATCCCTTGCTTACAGAATGCTACAACTGGGAAAGACTTTGTGGTTTTCTTAAAGAGTCTCAGCGCTGAAAAGAGGTGTGTCGGGGGCCAGGTGCAGGAGGGAGGTGGTGGGCCTGTCGACTCTGAGTCTCAGCACCTGCTTCTAAAAGAGCAACTCCTCTTCTATGCTTTTTAAACAGGGCAGGAAGAGGTGGACGTTCTATGGAAGATGTCTCATAGTTTTCCCACACTAATTCCTGGCAAAAAGCTGGGCAACTCAACCTGGGTCTGTGAAGGTGACTATCATGAAATATAGACTCATACTGCCCTTTTTTCCCCCCTAATATGCCCCAAGCGACACCATGGCCTACAAGCTTGTTAGTTCCAGATAGAGTTTTTAAATTTGAGCCCTATTTGCTGGATGACTAGTCCCCACCTGCCAAGGTGACACTCCCTCTTACTCATTGAGAAGTCTCCAAGTACATTTTTGTAGGCAGATAGATGTCACAGTAATCAGAGTAGCCTGCTGGTTTTCAGTCCTCTGCTTCAGCTACTGCCATTCAACTCGCCAATCTGTTGCGAGTCCCCAACTTGCCGTTTGGGGACTACCAACAGTCTGCCTACACCACAGCACAGTGGCGCCCTCGCCAGCTCCATGCCTCTTAGAACACCAAGCATCTTCTTTCTCAAGCACTCCTCTTAGAGGTTCTCACTGCCTGTGCCTGAACCCCCAGGGTTCTCTCTCAGGTGAGTTGAGACGGGCTTGTGTCCAGCTTGTGGAAGAGGTGGGCTCCACAGCAGAGCTGCTTGAGCCTCCAGAGGTACTACTCTTTCTTTTCCCGGGAAGCATTCTGGGGAAGGGGGGGGAGGTGTGAGGAGAGCACAGACTCACAGTGTCTGTGGCCCCACCACTTCCCCCAACCCACAGGCCCTACCACAAATCTGGCAAATTCTAGCCTTGGCCTCTTGTTCTTTCTCTCATGACTCCTGGATCTTCTGAAAATCAGAGATCTAACTTAAGTGCCCATAGTCACTACATGCAAGAAGGAGTTACCCATATTATTTCCTCATAGACAAGTGCGTTTTTCTGCCCATGGCTCAAGAGGCCCTTGTTACTAACTCTACGTCCTGAACCGATTGAGTCAGAGCCAAGATCATTTATCCCACGTGTGTAGAGAGTGAGACTTCAAAACCATGGTGTTTTTATTCTAGTGATTAAATATATTCAGAATTAAATAATTTTTATTTACTACTAACATTTTCTCAATATAGTCTTACTTTCTGGAAGATATTGTCTTAGCTTATATTTTCAATCTCTTTGACTTCAATTTGTCAGTGCATTCCTTGTATGAATTCTTCATACAAGATTAGAGTTCAGAATAAATTTAATCAAATAGGTGCAAGTGTAGAAAATTACTTCCACAGAACATGGCCAATAGCCCTGTAAATATAAATCTGACTACATCATGGTGTAGGTAAATTTTCCACAAGCAACTTGATGTATTTTCTGGGAAAAAAGTGCCACCATAATGAAAGTGGCGAGATTTTATTATTTTCCACATTAAATTTCTGTTAGTTAATGCCAATGTTAAGGGTTCAAATCCCCTTACCAGTAAGCCACCAAAAAAAAAAAAGAAAAAAAAAATTCAGTTGCACAGAATTTGGTTTCATGGCTAAAATAAAAGTGGCTGAAAACTCTTGTTCTATATCAGCAAATTAGTTAATCTGGGATTTAGTATTTTCCATGTTAACTAAAATTTGTAAGGCTTCTATTTTCCCATTTAAAAACACACAATTTTTTTTTTTAAAAGTTTATAATCCACATACTCCTCCTGTCTCCCGTTCTTAGCATGTATTTCCTAGGGGGTAACCAGGGGTATAGGGTGAGAGGGAAATGCAAGATTTCTATGGGAAAGTTAAGTAAGTGGTGAGTAAACTATTTTCAATATTAAAGAAGATGGAAATACATGACAAGGTTAAGCACGAATTTCACAAGTTTCAAAGATAAAACACAAAACTTCAAATAGATTTCCCAGTCACTTCAGGATGATCCCTAAGGTCATTCAGCAACATATGTCTGCTTTTCTAAAACATCATCAAAATCACTACTAACAAATTATTCTTAATGTCAATATAATAACTTCCTATTATAAACACAGATTACTTATAATCATTTTAGAGTACAGGCAAGGGGGATTTGATAACACTAAATCCTCCAAATTTTTTCCTATACTAAAATTAAACTTTTTAATTATGTGTGCCATAAGAACTCTATGAAAAAAAGACATGCTTTTAAAAAACTCCTATAAAAGCTACTTTTTAAAAATAGGAAATTGTTGTTTTCTCACATATTGGGTTGCTGACTTTCCTAAGTTTTCCTCTTTTGCTTCAAATAACTCAAGAATGTCGTATTATGTTTATAGTTTTAATAAGCTGAATCTCATTTATCAGTTTAACTTTTCTGGTTAGGTTAGTACCTAGTTGCATTTCTTTGTATTCTTCCTTTGTGACGTGCCCTGATTTCATTTTTTTGGAACAATGTCATCTTAACTTTCACATTTGTACCATTTGGGGTTTGACTGAGACGAAACACACAATATATGGATATAATATAATTCTGTTAAATGCAAAATGACTACTGTCATGACAACAGCACACATACAAAAGGCTACCTGTCCCTGAAGATCAGTAGAGAAATTCCCCCAGCCATAGCCTATGGCAGCAGCATCTAAGCACAGTGCTCATTCTGATATCTTAATAATTATATTGAATATTTATGCTTCTTTGAACTTTCCAAAGATTTCACCTGTGTTCTCACTGGACTGGCATGATGTATGTATTAAGCAGTTAAGGGCTGTCCTCTCTTTACAGATGGAGAGATCTGCCAGGTTTACTGTTAGGTATTTCATGTCCCAGAGAAAATCAAGCCCTGGACTCCAAAGGAGCTGAAAGTAACTCCAGAGGGGAATTGGGAAAAACACTCACTGCTAGCCACATAATTTGAAATGGTAAACTCTGTCAAAGAATGACGTTTAATAAGCATGTTTAGAGGAAAACCTCTAACCCAACACAAGAAAACTTTGTTTTTATCTAGTTACTTACCTAAAACTCACTGATCTTTTAAAAATAAGTACAAACAAATTTTTGTTAACAAGGGAAAAATACACAGAAATCAGAGAAGTGATGTGTACTTTTTCAGAACAATAGTTGAGACCATTTGTGACCAGAATCACGGTGCAGAAACGGGGTTAGTTACACAATCTAAAAATGTTAAACAAACAAAAAATGATTTTATAGAAATTAAACATTAATAATTCCTTACACAAAAAGTGACAACAGGATACATCCCTCACTAATAATTTTATAAAAAATTTTTACTATATGAATACTAGCAGGCACACATGCCACTGTGTCTGTAAAACTTGTGCTGAAACCAGAGAACTGTGGTGTCTGTTTCATCTCATTAATTTGCGACAATCTCTAGGACTGAACTGTCAAGGGAATAAAAACGTACTAATTGTTATTAGACAGTATAAAATGGATATGTTCAGCAAACCCTGGGTCTTAATAACAATCTTTGTTTAAATTTCACTAAATTGTATCAACAGGCTGGCAATATTACCATTCATTCTTAATAAAACTAACAAGAAGATCAAATGACTAGAAACTAAAATAGCATTGGGAAGCAGAGTCATAAAAGATGTATGAGGAAAAGGGCAACACAGCATCAGTTTCAGCAGGTAGTTCTGAAGAACCTTTCTAAATCGCCAGCTAAAGGATTTATACATTCTCCTACAAACATGGTTGCTAAAACCAAGTTTTTGCTACGTTACTATAATTACAGATAATGTTCTCTTAAAAGGAAAAGGAAAAAGTAGTTACCTCCTTTCTTTGAGGTAATACAGCAATACAAATACCGAATACGGAAGGGAAATGAAGAGAAGGCATGCATCTCTTTATGAGCCCAAATGTCCTTTATAATAAGAAGACAGCAGTGAGAGCCGTGAAAGGCGAGCCTACCTGTGCTTTTTGATGCCATTGGAGAGAGCATCTCCACTGCCACAATCTTTTCCTTCAGACATTCTGTGTCTTCTGCTGCTCAAATGCTCTCCTTCCTCTTCAAAGGAGTGTGCTGTCACCACTTCCAATCTACTCAGGGACTGCTCGGACGCGGAATCTGTAGCAGAGCAGGTTCATAGTTAATGAACTGAACTTTGGCATGAGGCGTCAGTCACAATGGATGTCTCGCTAAGTGCACCAGGCACTGAAACTTAAGCAGCCTACTTTGTCCTTCAACAATCCATCCGTTAACTACCTCCTCAGGGATTTCAGAGAAACTACATCCAATAAGGCTAAAGTGGATTTATGAAACAGATGTATGCTTATATAAACCCACAATTAAACAGACTTTATATTTAAAAGAGATTTCTAAAGACTACCCAATTCTTTAAGAAATCATACTCAGTTCTTCCCCTAAAATTACCATTTTTATCTTCCCCCTTAAAGCATCTTAAGCATAACTCACAAAAAAACCCTCAATTTTAAAAACTCATGTATAATGAAACAGCTATAATATCTGTGCTTGTGAGATATTTAAATTACATCCAATACTGTAGAAACAAAAGTAATGGTAATTTTAAATTACTTTATACTTTTTCCAGTATGGTATTATTTAAATCCTTAAGAGCTAAAGCCCTAAATGCCCATATACTAGTTGCCAGGCAGGCATTCCCAATTGGCTATATATTCAGATTGCGGCCATCTGCCTAAGACAACTCTTCTCTGTACAGTACATTATAGTTTTCAGGCATGTTCACATTCTTTATCTCCTCTGAGCATCTCAAGGATGCGTTGGTGAAGGTAAGACAAGAGGGTCTTAGTAAGTGTGCTAATAGTCTCATGGCCTGTGAGTGGGAGAACTAGGATTTTGAAGCCAGGTTTTCTGACTACTAGTTTAACACTTTATGTACTTCAGCTCGAACAGCAGTTATTCAATCTCCATAAAACTTGAAATAGTGCCTCAGCTTTTATTTAAATGTATATTCAAGATAACCTACAGCTTCCCATCTTAAGATGAATATCCATTCACCTGGCCTCAGCTCTAGGAAAGACTCTAATAAGCATTCAAGCAAACTTCCTTAAATCCATTTATCAACAATCTGCCAAGTATATATTAGAGCTAAATTGTTAAGGAAATAAAATGTTTTAGTGCTTTTTTTTCCCTCCCTACTGCATTCTATAATTCAGCAAAAATCATGGAAGCTTATTCTTATCAGGTGAGGTTGATTCAGAACAACAACTGCTGGATCAGCACCAGTGCAGGTTGAATGGACAATGTAAGCTACTTGCAGAAAGACTTTAAATGCAGGGAAACTTATTTTTATTTTCTGTAAATATAACTTTTTTTTTTTTTTTTTTTTTGGTCCTTTTTGAG